GTTGTTCTATGATTACAAAAAATTAGAACTGCTACAAATTAAGAATAGTACATCCATTTGCGTTAGAAAGTTTTCAGGTCGCAACCGAGTTACGGCCCAAAATCTATTAAAAAAAAACTTTGTTCAAAACTTGATTCAACAGGATGATGGTTACAAGGTTTTGAAAGGCGTTAGATCCTCACCTGCGCACTAGGAAGCTAAGAAGAAAAAGGCAATCGCTATGATTCGCCAATTTGGGCTTCCAACCTCCTTTATCACTTAATCGGCTGCAGAATCTCAGTGGATTGAGCTTTTGGTCATCCTCTCTAAAACTTTTGATTTTAAAGATATTTCGGAAGAGGAAGCCAACAGTTTAACAACCCAAGGTAGATATCGCTTAATTCGGTCAGACGCGGTTACTTGAACTAGATATTTTGACAACCGCTATCGACAAATTCTTAAGCTTTTTAAAGAAAACGCCGGCATTTTTGGAGAGAATTTTGTTAAAAATTTCTACTGGAGAGTGGAGTTTCAACAGATAGATTCCCGCATGTACATGGCATGTATTGTCTTAATAATGCTCCCAGGACCAACCTTCAAGATCCTCAGACATTCCCTGATGTCATTAGTTTTATTGACAATTATATTTCTACAAATGTTCGATCAGCCACTTAGAAAATTATTACGGTTATCAAATGCATAACCACAGTCGGTCTTGTGCTAGGGAAATAAGAGGACAACAGTTTTGTCGTTTTGGTATACCATATCCACCAATGCCTTCAACGCAAATACTGTTACCTCTTACAGAAAGGAAAACTTTTTCAAAATTCAAAACGTTTTAAATTCAAATATGACTACAGAAGACATTTATAATTTAAACGATTTTGAACACTTCCTGTCTGATAGAATAAATATGTCTTTTTATCCAATATATACTGGATGCATATGCTTGCTTTTCATATATAATTAATTATATTAACAAGTCCAACAGGGAAGTTTCGAGGCTCTTAAATGAAGCTATATCAGAAGTAAATGCTGGAAATTATACTGTTAAGCAAAAACTTAAACATATAGGTCACAAATTTATATCAGGCACAGAAATATCTGCACAAGAACCAGTATATTGCTGCATTGGGCTCTATCTTTCGGAAGCAAGTAATGCAGAAATATTTATAAATACCTCTAGAGCAGAACTTCAGAACCTTCCTTCAGGTTCGACTGAAATATTCGTAGCCGGTATTTTAGACCGTTATGTTCAAAAATCCGATCAGTTAGAAACTCTTTGCTTAGCTGATTTGTATCTATGTATAAATATAATATGTTAAATCTAGTAGAAGAGCACAAGACAGTGATCATGAAGAAGAAGAGAGGGAAAACGATAATTTAGCAGAAAACGGGGTTGTCATGCCTCTTAAAGACGGTAGCGGTTTTGTTAAGAAACGTACCAAACCTTGTATTATTGGGTATAGAAGGTTTAACCCAGATTTGGCCAGAGTTGAGTATTTCCGCGAAATGATAATGCTTTACTATCCTTGGCGGAATGAACAGCAAGATCTCATTGAAAACGATAATGAGCAGACTTGCATAACACATCGTATTATAATTGAGGAAAATCAAGGAAAATATGATGTTTTTGAGCAAAGAGAACTTGAAAATGTTCTAGAAAGTCTTTATAATGAAATAGACTTGGACGAAGGTGCTCAAAATGAACTACCTATCGTGGAAAATTAATTCAGAGTGTTGGCACTTCCAGAAATAAACCCAAATATAAATTTGCTGGACTTGCATGGCGAAGATTCAACAGATAATGGCACTGAATCTGATTGCAATAATAGACTAATTAAACTACCCCCTTTAATTCTAGTTGAAGAACTATTTTCATAAGTTCAAAGTTTATATACTAAGCAAAGAACCTATTTGACACATTTGATGCACCAGCTAAAAAAAAATCGCCCATTTTATGAGTTCATGGGCGGTGGTGCAGGTGTAGGAAAGAGTCGTTTGATGTCTGCAGTATAGCAAGCTCTTAACCATTGTTACAATTCTACACCTGGATTCAATCCAAGTTCCTTAAAAGTTCTTCTTTGCACCTACGGGTAAAGCACCATTCGGAATAGGTGGAATGACCCTTCATTCAAATTCTCTTTCAATATTCAACTACACCTGCCGGTACACAAATTGATTGGGCATTTTCAAAAATGGATCCTTCCCGTGTTAATACAATTACTTTTGAGACAGCACACAGCTATCATGACAGTATTTGTGTCTCTATTTCGAACTAAAGTTTTCAGACTTAGTGCAATAGTTTTAATTTTTTTTCCAAATATAATCGAATTAGAATAGTATAGAAATTTTTACAGTAGTTTTTAAGACAATTTTAAGAAAAATATGTAAATAATCTAATTAAGAAAATTTAAATTATATGTATAATTTGTTATTATATATGACATTATTGTATAAATATATGATAGAAATTAAATAGTATAAGGAGAAAAAAAATATAATTTGGATATATGTATAATAATCTCTATAAAAATTTATGTTTAATATTGTAAATATTATATACAAATTAATATAATAATATAATTTTTAAAGTTGTTAATATTTATTATGTTTAAGCTAAACATGTACTTAAAATAATATCGATATAATAAGTAAAAAATAAAATCAATTATAAGCGTATACAAAAAACACAAGAATGATTTCTCATAATTTGAGTAAATTTAGTTTACAAATTGCTCTAATTATTTTCACTGTGAATGTAAATAACTAAGGCAAAAGCTCCTACTTCTAATTTTAAAAATATATAAAGAAATCTCAAACGAGTATACCATTTAACTTTGCGAGAGTATAAAATGTTCGGTTACAACCGAACTTAGCCCTTTCGTACTTGTTTTTATTATTTTCTTCATTAACAAATGCACCTTGTTTATTCATATTTAAACAAACACAGAAAAAAGTGACAAAATGACAACATAGTTCTTGTCGATTTAAAATATTTTGCAGTTCTAAAATATTTTTCTCATCGCATCCATAAACCTTTCGCATGAATCAATTAGTGTACATATTTACATACACATGTTGCATGTAGATAAATATACAAACATTAATAAATGCAATAAAAGCTATGCATAGCTAAATAATAATGTTACTACCATTATAACTTCGAATATTGAATAATTTATTTATATTAATTAATTTTTTATTAAATTCCATTGTTTTATTTGGCAAAAAAAAAATTGTATATTAAATATTATTATTTTTGAATCACCCTGCTGTCTAAAAGTATGCAAATGTTGCGCATACTTTGTGATCGTGTTATGTTTATTTCCGTTATGGAATTTCTTGATTCAGTCCCCACGGTCAAAACCCGTGTTAGAAGCTATGCAATAGCTTAAAAACACCCGTAATATACATATACCTATATATTTATAATTAAGACAACGAGTCGAATTGAATTCCGGGTGACTGTCGATCCGTTTGAGTCCGCAAATAATAACTTGGTATTGTAAGTGAAATTTGTAGTAAATATTAATTTATAAATTATTATTTGTTTTTAGCGTAGAATTTATTTTTTCACTTTAATAACTTATTTTTTTGCAGTTTTTTTAATTAAATCCGATCTATTCTATATCTCGTTTTATCCGTATTAATCAAAAAATTTTCACATCGTTTTCCAACATTTCGTCAGCATTTACATGAGTATATACGATAAAACTTCCATATTTCTTAGCAACACGTGCTCCGCAAAATAATTAGTTTAATATTGCAGCAGAGTATCAGCGGAGCATCAGCAATAGAGTATCAAGTTAGTAACAGGGTTGCGGTATTACGGCAGCTCGAAAACACCCATAGTCCACCCCAAGTGCAAACTTTGTCGAAATGGGATCATATTTTTTCAAGTCACAGTGCTTATGCCGAAAATATCGATCAATCTGTAAGATATATTTCTTAAATTCAGATATAATCTTTTCTTGATAATAATATGATTGTAGCTTATTTCCGAAAATGTCTAAAATCGGTGCATTACCCCCAACTCCCATGTCCTACTTTCAATAATTTTTATTACTTTAAAAGACTTTATGCAGAATATATCGATAATTGTGAGTTATATTCGTCGAAATTAAATGGAAAACTATGTGTTGGAGCGCCATTCAATAGATTGTTGGAAAGTTTCGACGTCATATTCCCAAACCTGCGTCAAGTACAAGTAAACAATAATGATGCGTTTGATGAATGTATGATTCTCACCTTCATTGTCAAGCATCTCTTTTGCTACTCGACGTCGATTTTGCAAACGATTGAAGTCTATTGGTATGAGTCTCGTGTGGACTCGCTTCATACTCAATACATTAAACAAAATGCATTGATCCGATCCATAAGAGATCATGACATTCTCTGTCATCTCCTCGATGCCAAACGACAACTTTCAAGCACTGTTTCTTTAACTTTTTTGATGTTAATGTCATTAGCAGAGGACAAGTTCACGATCTTCACTGAATGTACCACTCAAATACTTGTGCTCTTGAAAAAGTCGACTCCCCAAAACACTTTGCAACATTTTCAGCGATTCTTTGGCCGTGATTCCATTGAAATCACAAATTTCAACTCTTTGTTAAGTTTTTTCTCCATGGTAAAAATCGCCAAATACACACTAACAGACGGTTGGAGATCAAACTTCACACAAACATAAACAAAAATTGCACCAACAAAATATGTTTATCGATTCGGTTTGCGCGCACAGTTCAAATGGGCCAGTCCGCATCGAATTCAATCAGATGATATATCATACATTTTTTATTTATCTAATATGATTCAAATCTTACTTCTGTTAAGATTATGAAATTTAGATATAAGCTACAATTAATGCGTGTTATTTGTTTCAAAATTTTGGTAATAAGTAATTGTGTTGACGTTATTATGAACAGGTAACAATGGCTAAACTGTGATATGTACTCCTACATAACAACGTTATGCTTTATTAAACTTCATGTCCTATTTTTCACGTTTCCTATTTCCAGATGGAATACTTCACCATCACCAAAAAGTCATATTGCCGTACTACAGTTAACACATTATCTCCAGATGTTTCTCAAATATAAGATGTTTAAAATAGATATAAATGCTAAACAGGTAATACATTATTCTTAAATTATATTATTGTCCAGTCATTTAAGCTTAAATTAGGTAAGAATCTCGGAATTCGAGATACCCAGCTGTAAGTCTGTAAATACTTGTATATTGACACTCTAAAAGTTGTCTCAAAACCTGCATATGGTAGGGTGTACGCAACTATTAAATTTCAAGATCAAAGGTCACAAAAATCGGTTTTTTGCGCTTGTAAATATCTCATTTCCTATGGGTTTTTTGCTATTGGTATTTATTATCAATATTGTAGAATACAAAATTCTCTACAAATTTTCATACGGTGAACCGTTTTTGAGATAGAGGGCGGAGAGCGCGCGGTCACGGCATCACTTCAGGTTAACCGGTGCCTCCGATCAAAAACGCGCCATATATAGTTGATGAACTATCGATAAATCAATGATTATAAATATTTGTCAATTTTTATTAACTATTATATTATATTTTATCATTTTCTTCATGCCTTAAATCTTTATCTATTCAATAATACTGATCACCGTTCAAAATTAAAAATAATGAAGGAAAAACTTAAATCTTACTCATAATTATATTCCCATTAACACTAATGACATTTTAATTAGAAAATAATGAAGTGCATCTTCTTTAAAATCTGTAAATTTGAAAATCCTTCCACTACGTCAAAAATTATACTTGGGAATTATACGGGCCCCTATTATACACTACGGACCTTTCCATTTATAGCCAGTAGGAACAGATGTTCACCTTATGGCAGTCTATACTCTGAAATCTGTGAAAAGTCTCGATCATCTTCGTTATATGCATTACGTCAAGTCTACAAAACTTAATAAACCTATGCAGCTTTCAAATATTCCACCAACAAGTGCAGCTGCTCATCAACATTTCGAACGTGTATATTATCAAGTTCAAACTTGGTTAGGGCATGATTTGGAACCCCAGGTAGGGGTTGGGCAATGCGAAACGATTTTCTGGAGCCTATCATGACAATTTTACCACCTGCTCCAGAACATTTGCTAAATACAATTTTCTGCAACTGCAACAGTGGTTGTGGTTCGCGATGCGGATGCAGGAAAGCGGACTTGCAATGCTCTTTAGCTTGTGGCCAATGTAATGGGAAAGCTTGTCTCAATGCTCTACCATATCAGAGCGACATTAACGAAGATGGAACTTTTGACCCGAAATCATGGAAGAACTTGAAACAAATGTCGTTGAAGACGATAATGAAGACCAGTTTGAAATTTACCAGCAGCCGGAAGACGACGATGAAGAGGAAGAAGATGATTAAAATTATAAATTGTAGTTTTTGTACCCTTTATTCCATTTTTACTTTTAATAAAATAAATGTATTGAATGATATTATTTAATAAATTTTGTTATTTTTATCATGTAAGAAGTTATTAATATTAATAAGGTTTAAATTCAAATATAATTCCTATATTTTCATTAACAATTCTGCAATTTCATGGGCAGGTAAGTGTTGTTAAATAAATTAATACTGAATAAAAAGTGAATAGGTTAGGAACAAATGATAAAATATAATATAATAGTTAATAAAAATTGACAAATATTTATAATCATTGATTTATCGATAGTTCATCAACTACATATGGCGCATTTTTGATCAGAGGCACCGGTTGACCTGAAGTGATGCCGTGACGGCGCGCTCTCCGCCCTCTATCTCGAAAACGGTTCACCGTATGAAAATTTGTAGAGAATTTTGTATTCTACAATATTGATAATAAATACCAATAGCAAAAAACCCATAGGAAATTAGATATTTACAAAAAAAGCGCAAAATCCGATTTGTGTGACCTTTGACCTTGAAATTTAATAGTTGCGTACACCCTACCATATGTAGGTTTTGAGACAACTTTTAGGGTGTCAATATACAAGTATTTACAGACTTACAGCTGGGTATCTCGAATTCCGAGGTGAACTTACTATAATGCCTGGACTATTACAGATAACTATTCAATACACTGAAAATATTATAATAAAGGCGAAAGCGTTAATGCCGGCATAAGAATCCACGGGATTAAGAATTTAACTTGAGGTTTTACTCTGAAATGATTTGTACAAATTTTTTCCCATCTAAACAGAAAATGGGTGTTATTTGACTTTGAGACTAATTTGTAGACACGGCAAGAGTTAGAAGATAGTTATAAATGTAAGCCAGAATAGCAATGACTGTCCGCATTTATAAAAATACATATAAATATGTTTAATAATAATAATAATAATAATAACCCAACGATAACCCTCCTAGCGCCAACCGACGCGAGGGGCGCAATCCGCATACTTACGGAATTAGCCGAGTCAGAAAAGGCAAGAGAGTTTTTTAAGTGTTGAGATCTAAAACTGCTCAGCTACAGAAACAAAAATTTCAACAGCTAAGATTTATAGTTACAATATAATACATTGTTACATATTTATTTATTAAGAGAAAACAATTAGGTCTTTTTAATTTTTAAAAATGAGTCAGATAAGTTTGGAATGAGAATGACATATACGGCGGAATGGCTCGTTTAGTTCAAAATTTGATCTACAGGATTTTAACAGTAAAGGTCTAAATTGTCTCGAAAGGCGAGCCGGGATATTAAATTTAATTTCAGACAGGAGAAAAGAACTGCAAACTGTTCCATTCAAAATTTTCACTAAGAATATTATGCCAAGCATTTCCCTACGACTAGAAAGTGTAGGTAGATTAATAAGTTTTAAACGACTAGTGTATGGAAGTAGACTTACCCTAGAATCCCATCGGAAATGCGCTAAGGCGAAAAGTAAAAATTGTTTTTGAGCAGACTCTAACTTGTCAGAATGGATTTGGTGGTTAGGGTTCCATACAACAGAGCCATATTCCAATATAGGTCTAACCAAAGTTGTATAAAGTGTTTTAGTAATATAGGGATCTCTAAATTCTTTAGACCAACGTTTAACAAAACAGAGGACAGCTTTTGCATTCAAGACTATGGTATCAATATGAAGACTACAATTAAGCTTAGGGTCCATATTAACTCCCAAATCAACATAGTTAAAAACTTGCACTAGAATATGGTGTAAGAAGAGTGGTGCACAGATCTACGGGAAAAGCACATCATCTTGCATTTATTGACATTCAATGGCAAATCATTTCTATCACACCATGCAACCAAATTGTTTAAGTCTGTTTGCAACAGACACCTTTCTTCAGTTGAAGTGTATGATTTAAAAAGCTTTACGTCGTCAGCGTATAATAAAATTTTTGAAAATTCTATTACTGAAGAGATATCGTTAATAAACAACAAGAACAGAATCGGGCCAAGATAACTACCTTGCGGAACACCTGAAGAAACATTAATTGTATCTGAAGGTGTATCCTCAAATATCACTCGTTGTGTTCTATTATAAAGATAGGAAGATACCCATTGAAGGAATCTTGGCTGAAAGCCCAGCAAATCAAGTTTATGTATGAGAATCGAGAGATTTACTTTATCGAAAGCTTTGCTAAAGTCTGTGTATATAACATCCGTATGCTTATGTTCCCTAAAACCCAATGATACATGGTTTACAAATTCAAGTAAGTTTGTCATAGTCGAATTCCCTTTACGAAATCCATGCTGATATGAGGAAATTAACGGAGAAATCGAAAAGGTTATATGGTCAGTGATGATAGCTTCAAAAGTTTAGGTATAACTGACAGTTTTGCGATACCTCTATAGT